GAGATGTTTATAGCTATGTCCCCCTATTCCACAAATTGGAAACTTCCTGAGATTAAGAATTGAATCCTTATCATCTCGGCAGCTCTTAGCACTGTTCCATGAGTTGGCAGACCCTGATGGTGACCAAGAACGCTAGACTGAGGCTCCAACTCAGCCACTCAGCTTCATGACCATCAGCAGGCTTCCTGACCTTGCTAAAGCCAGTTCCCCGTGTGGAAAATAGGCATAATAATTCTGCCTGTGCCACAGGATTGTTGTAAATTGAATAAGCCCCAGTTCAAGGCTAAAACTCATTGACATATTATTATTATTAATAATAAGTGATTAATAACTAGTCAGAGACCAAGAACAGGCACAATTGATTTTTCCTTCCACTAGTACCTAAGAAGAATACTCTTGCAAAAATGAAACAAACACAGAGAAAGGTTAAGAATTGGTTTGTTCCAAGTACAAACGGGATACTACCATTCTCCTAATCTCCACCACTGCTGTTACAGTCTTGTGGTCATTGACAGTCAGTCGCCTGTCCAGAGAAAGTGCACAGACCTTCACATCTTCTGATCCCTAACCCCAGGCTGGGTCTCCCAAAGGAACAGTCCTTTCTGTTTTTAACGCTTGCCTCACCTTTTGCACTCAAGGAAATACCTAGCACTCATCCAAAATGGAATTGGCTAGGAAGGGACCAGGGACTACATGGAATGATGTTTATAGACATGGCTTCCCCTCTATGGTCTGATCCTCCATCCAGTAGCCAAAGTGACCTTTCAAAAACAAAAACCAGCTCGTGTTAGTCCCTTGCTTAAAATTCTTCAGCAATCTCTCCTGCAATGAGAACAAATTCCAGATTTTTTAAAATCATAACTTGCAAGATACTAAATAGGCCAGCTCCTTCCTGATTCATCTCTCCTCTCTCTGTGACTCACCAAGCTCCAGCCATTCTGACCTTGTCTCTGCGCCCCAAAAACCAAAGGTCTTTACATTTACTATTTACCTCATAGTAAGTATTTCCTGACCACCAGATGAGAAATAACCTTCTCCTATTTATTCCCGTAACCACAGATGCCACACATGCCATGAGCTTATTGCTTGCTCCCACCTCATACCCCGATTTCCCCTATAAGTGCCATGGGGTAGGGACTTTGTCATGCTCAACACCATCTCCAAAGGTCCTAGAACACTGCCTGGCACTTAGCATTCCATATCTCCTTATTGAATGAATGACATAGAAGTAGGGAAGATAAAAGGCCATGTTTCATCTATTATTTTTATATTTCAGATGAATTTGCCTTTTAAAAAAAGTATACTCATTACTTCTCTAATAAAGAAGCAATGCTAAAAGGAAATAAAATTAGCATATGAAATCAAGTAAAATAAAATACACAACCCTTCCTAAGAATTTGTTTTTCAGATTAGCAGCAACTCGCATTGCTTCAGCCTCTACACTATCTGTTAAACCTGAAGCATTGGCTGGTTTAATGATCTGCTTGCTAGTTCCTACACATCCTTTGACTTTTAAATAACAGTCATCTCCCCTGGGTTTTGGGAAGGATTGCTGTTTAAACGCTCTACTTTCTCTCCAGCTCCTATTCACAGTGTGTTTCTTTTCTACCTCTGTGCTTATGTTGGTGCTGTTATCTCTCCTGGCATTCCCTCCAAACTGTGCCACCCTCTCCCCCATTTCCCATACTGAGCATCCTTTAAGGCGCATTCAAATCTATCAGGAAAGGGCCACAACAACAGACAATTGTGCTTTTAGAAAGCTCTGTACTTTTTCAAAAGACTCCTTGGCTTTCTGTCCCCCTCAATTAATTACAGTTGGGTGAACGCAATATTTTTTATATACCTAACCACATTGAAATGTCACTATATATTTTCCAATTGAGTAAAAAACAAACCAACAAAATAAAAATTCACCAGGAGTGGGGAAATGCTGTCAGAGGTGGATGGGAGCAGTTTAGAGTCTTTCTCCAACAGGAAACTAGTAGATGGTTTCAAGGGTGCCATAGCCTTCCCCAGATGATGCCTATTTACACCATCGTCATCCAGAATTTACAAAGAAATGGGAGTAGTGGGACGCTGTGACTGACACACTTCAAGTACTGCTGGGTGCTAGGACAACAGTTGAGCACTGAGCAAGCATGCATTTTCTCATTCAGCCTTCCCAAGGCCCTAAGTGCTGATTTCTGCTGTTGTGCCCATTGTACAGATAAGCAAACTGGCACACACAGACTCAGCAGTTTCCCCAGCATGACAAAGCTACAAATTGTCACAATTGGATTGAATTCCTTTCACTGATTTCAAACCTCCCATCCTTTGCTACTTTAGATACCTTTATCTAAAAACTATACTTAAAATGAGAGAGCCATTAATGAGACCATAACTTAAGAACATCCAGTTCTTCAATCTTTCACTCCTTGTCAATTTATACATACTTGTTATTTAACATCAAGTATTTAACTATGCATGGAAGCTCAACAGAGCACCACTTCTTTTTACTGGACTGCTTCTATTCTCCAGTATTTCATGCAGTATAGTGTTGGCTTGGCAGTTGTTTTACCACACTGTCAATTGTTCTAATTTTCACACTTCATTAATAAATGGAGGCCCCGGACATTGTGGAAGGGATTCACAGATCCCCTGGGAACTGAGAGAATGTTTTCCAGAAGCTATTTACATTAAAAAAAAAATGCGTAGTGGCAGACAAGAGTCTAAAGATCATAACTTGCCAAACTCAAGATTTAAAGGTGGGACTCTGGATTAATGCTCTAAGAAAATATCAGGTTTAATAGGCAAAAAGGAAAAAGAAATTAGGGAATCTATGCAAAACCAGATCAGAAAACTAGGAAGCAAGCCTTAGAGTCTTTGATGATTTGGAACAGAGAGAATTAAAACGCTTTTCTACCAGACTTTTAGCAGTTTGTATCCTAGGACTTAGAAGTACAAAAATGTCAGGAGCTAGAATGTATAAAATGGGTTCTTGCTGAAATCTTCCTGCATGTTTGAAATTGTTCCTTATGAAGTGGTAAGAAAACAAAACGCTGCAAGAGAGTTATTAGGGAAGTGACCAACATTGCAGTTGTAGTCTAGAGTGTTGCTTTATGTAATTCTTTGCAAATGGTAAAAGCAGGTTGCTTTACAGCTAAAGCAGTAAAATCATGGAATCAGCCAATATGAACTGAATAGTTAGCCTTGAGTTCTACATACATCATCTTAATATTCACAATAAAGCTATAAAGTAGACTCTGTTGGTATCTCTGGTTACAGAAAGTGGAGGCAAAATGAGGCTTAAAAGTGTGCCCAAAGTACACAGCCAGCAAGGGACACTTGAGTCCAGTATTTTTTTTCTACATAGATCCAGTGTGCTTTCAAGGCCACTGTGAGCTCCAGAGACCCACAGGGCCACCAGACACTTAAAAATCACCAGACAGATTCCGAGACTCTCAACAGATTCAGTAAGATTTCTGAAAAAACATGAAAGCATTAAACCTATATGTTAAAAGTCTGGGGTCCAACAAATCTGGGCTCAAATCCTGGCTTTGCTACTTAAAGAGTTATGTGGCCTAAAAAGCCTCAAGTTTGTTTTCTTAATCAATGGGAGAGGAATCCTTATACTCACTACAGGAGGTGGTCATGAGGATTAAATGAGATGATGCATTTGAAGTTCTTAGCACAGGACCTGGTACATGGTCATCAAGCAATAAAAGGCATCCATTGTTGGAATTATTTTGAGCTTGTGCTAGACTTTCAACCTTGATGTTGTGACAGAGCACAAAGGCCACAGGGTTTTGAAAGGAATGCAACAGAGGACAAGGAGGCAGATTTTTAAAGGAGAAAAACAAGAAGGAAAGCAGTTTGGAGTATGGTATCCACCATAGCATTTAAGGAACCAAGACACGATTCTGATTCCAACTTGAGCCCATCAGAACCCAAACACAGCTGAGCGATTGTGGAAAGAGTGTCTGTATGGATAAGTACAGGTACAGGTAGAGCACGCACACACAGTTTTCTGTAGGTGAAAACAGGAAAACACATACACACACAGGAGCACATTCACAGTACTTTGGCCCAACCTAGCTCAGAGATTGGTGCTGAAGAAGACAGGTGCTAAACACAGTTACCCAGAAACAGGACAGCAAGCTGCAGGCCCCGTGAAAAGGGCTGGAGGGCCTTTGCCAGGGTGGTTGGAGGCACAGCACTAGGCAAGCAATGCCAGAGTAGGAACACCAGGAAGCTTCCTGGGTTTGAAGGAACAGCTCAATACCCTAAGGGCCCCTAAAAACAGCCTCTACACTTTGAAGGCAAGAATTTTCACTATTGTATGCTATTCATGATAAACAAGAATCCTTCCTTTTTTTAGAATTGTTATTGACACCAGAGCAACCTATAGAGAACCATCAAACACAGCTGGTCTGTTTTGGAACTGTCTTCTAGAAGGATACTCAGACCAAAGACTTGAACTGAGAGGGAAGAAAAAAAGGATGTGTTTAGAGTTAACCCTTTTCTTCTCCCCTCTGACCCTGGAGGAGGCGTGGTAGGAAACGTTGGGAATGTCAGGTGCGTCCTGCAGCCCACCGTTTGGGGCTAGAGTGGGAGAGCCAGTGGACACTCCCCCCTCTGCAGGGATGTGGGTGCTTTCCAGGACGGTTCAGCAGCGCACCAGCACATATCCATTGGAGACAGGGTCCTCCTCCCTGGGTTGCAGAAAAGAGCCTGCTTTCCAGGACCAACGCGAGCTAACGGACCCGGGACTTGTAAGTCCAGCACAGGCTGCTGGCTGAGCCACTGAGCCATTTCCCCAGCTTCCCGGTAAAATCCGGCTCGGAGGGTCCCCCCTTTTGTTCGCGGGCAGAGCGCAGAGAAGGCGCTGCGCATCCCCCCATCGCTGAAAGCTCAGCTGCGGGGGCGCTTCCTTAGTCTGCTCTCTGTGTTCCCGGCGCTCCTGCGACCACGGGCTGTATCTCACCGGTCCCCAACTGCCCCCACCACGCCCGAGTACTCACTTCTCCCCAGTCCCTCCGCTTTCCATGCTGTCTCCTCCACCGCTCCATAGCGCTTCAGAGGCTTCTCAGCTTCCAAGTGGGTGGACAAAGATTGCTTTAACTCCATCACTGATCCCTGCGGGGAGGTTGCGGGTCTCCCTTCACTCCATCCCCGCCACGGGCTGCAGGGAGGGAGGCGGCTCCAGCCAACAGCGGTTTAAGGGGCTGGGCGTTCGTGACGCTGCTCCATCTCTTCCGCCGCCAGCGCCTGGGAGCGCCGCCTGGTACCCAAGATGGGGAGGGATGCAGGGCACATGCGCAATGAAGGCGGGCGCGGGGAGGGAAGGGAGGTCGGACTTGGGGCTGGGTAGGGAAAAAAAAGGAGCAGGTGGTAACTCTGAGAACACCAAAACACAACATTAAAACCAACCCAAAGGAAGTCAGAACAAGACGCCTGCCCATACTGGACCCAAGGGTGATACTTGGGTAAGTGATTGTGGTCCGCCAATGTGCTGCTAGGTTTTGGGTGCAACGGGTGAGTTCACCTCTGTGGGATGGATCCATCTTTGCTAGAAGTAAGCACAAGTCTGAATGTGGTCCAGGATATGGAGTGTGTGAGTTTTTATTAGGGGTTCTGTCATTGGCATTTGTGGACTCAGTTTGAATATGCAGTGGGACAGTGGATGACAGTGTTGGCTAAATGTTGTGCATGGATTTGAGAGAGAGATGGAAGATAGTTTTGAACACACTAAAGTTGTGTTAAACACAGGTGTCTTGAATAGGAAAACTCAGAGTTTTAGTGACAATGCCTGGCAACATTAAAAATACAAAGTAAAATCAGTAGCTAGATGTTTAGAGATCAGTCCCATCTATTGAGGACAAGCAGGTGCACACTTGCCAGTAACTCTGAAGCATGTACTGCTGTGTTGGCCTTGTTTTACACAGAATGCAACCAAGGTGCAGAAAAGATAGTTGCCCAAAGTGTCACATGTAGTAAGTGACCTGGAGAGCACTTGAAGCAGGCCATTTTTATCCAAATTTAGCCTGTTTATTATAGACCTGCCAGTTACAGGGTTTTGTATCTGGATTTTTAAAAAGATGTGTTTATTGTATCTGGGTTTTTTAAGGGCTCTAGAGGGCCTGTATTTTTGGTTTGTTGCCTGTTAGTGTTTTACACAATGACTCTACATTTCCTATCCCTCTAGCCCTTGGCAATTGTGAATCCTCTTTCTCTATTCTGAGTATTTGATACAAGTATCAAATGAAACAATACATGACCTTTTGTGTCTGGCTTCTTTCTTGTGACTTACTGTTCTCAGAGTTCACCTGCACTGTGGTGCATATCAGTACTTTGTTTCTTTTCTTGGCTGAATAACATTCCATGATATGACTCTGCAAGGATATATTTACCTCTTCATTAATTGATAGATACGTGGGTGATTTCCACCTTTTGGCTGTTGTGAAAGGTGCTGCTGTGAACATTTGGGTTCCTGCTTTGGAATGGGAGTATAGGCCTAGACGTGGAATTTCTAAGCCATTTCGTATTTTTATGTCTAATTTTTTTTTAATTTCAAACTGTCTTCCAGAGTGGATGAATTATTTTGTTCTCACCAGCAAATTGTACATGGAGTCCAGTTTCTCCACATCCTAACGCTTAACTGTTTTTCAGGTTTTGTGCTTGTAGTTTTAGCCATCCTTATGACTTTGAAGCAAGGTTTCACTATGGTGTTAATTTGCATTTCTCCAGGAACTAATCATGTTGAGCTCCTTTGTGCTTATGGATTGTGTGGCTTCCATGAAGAATTACCCATTGAAGTTATTGAAGTGCTCTTCACTTGTTAGAAATAAGATTGAACTTTTGTTGAGTTATGAGAATTCTTTCAGTTTTAGTGTTACAGTGGGTTAAGCCAATACTTGGGACCCACGTTCTGTGTCAGTAATGCCAGTTCTGGACTCCAGTTTTATGCTTTACAAATAGGAAGAGTCTTCATAAAGTTCATAAAAAATGCATATTGTGAAAAAGTGTAGGTTTTATAAACACCTTTGCATAAAAATAAACTTATGTTTCCTTTTTATTTTTTCACAAGTTTTTTTGAAGTACTGTCAAATACATACATATCCTGAAAAAAAAACCACTGATAATACATGATAATACATGCTTTATTTGTATTCTCAGATGTCCCTACAAGGGCATGTATTACTTTCATCATCAAAAAAAAAATCAGTAAGGTTTTTAATGCATGGCAAATAAAATGCTAGGAATAAATGCACAAGACTATCAATGATTGCTTTTAGAATTGAGATTTAGGGATCAGTGTAATGGCTCAACAGACTAATCCTCCACCACCTGGCACCAGTATCCCATATGGATGCCAGTTCATGTCCCAGCAGTTCCACTTCTGGTCCAGCTCTCTGCTTGTGGCCTGGGAAAACAAAGGAGATGACCCAAATTCTTGGGTCTCTGCACCCACTTGGAAAACCTGGAAGAGACTCCTGGCTCCTAGCTTTAGCTCAGCCTGGCTCTGACTGTTGAGGCCGTTTGGGGACTGAACCAATGGATGCACGATCTCTCTTTCTGTAACTCTGTCAAATAAAAATAAACCAATTTTTTAAAAAAGGATTTGAAATCTAGGTGAGTTTTTTTTTTCTTTTTTAAACCTGAAATTTCCAAGCATCTACACTGAGTACAAACTTTTACAATTCAGAAAAGCTGAAACTCATTTTCTAAAAATGTGATACAATTCTGTATTCCTATATGACAAAATTGTCCCTGCCAGAGCAGTATCCAGAACCTCGTCCACTTGTATTAGTTTAGGGTGATGATGCTTCAAGTTAAATAACTGGCTAAAGTAGCCATCTGTATGGAATTATTAAGTGGCTCTTGCTCTTGGCTTAGTTCCTCAGTGCTGCTGGGAGACTACAAAGAGCCACGGCGGCAGAGGCCGGTGTGAGACATTTCTGTAACTGTCATTTGGTTGATTGAAAGGGAAAATGATGCAATACCATCCTGGTAATTTGATTCTTCATCGAGCTTATTAACAATTTCAAAGGTACATGTGGGCTTATCAGAGTATCATGGTTTTCAAAGATATGGATGCTAAGTTCCAAAGGATCTGAGTTTAAGCCCTGCCTGTGCCATCTGCCGGCTGATATTGCGAGATCTGACCCTGTGGGGATTCACCACACGAAGCCTCCAAACAAAACAAAACAAAACAAAAACCACTAAAATAATGTTGAGTAGAGAAGTTGGAACCCTCAGACGCCATCTATACAGTGGGACAGCTGTGTTGGAAAGCAGTCTGGTAGTTCCTCGAGACACTGAGCACAGCTACCCTTTCTCCCACTAATTCCCTCCTGCTTTCCCAGGCCACAAGCAGGGAACTGGATAGCAAGCCAGACCACCAGAATCAGAACCGGTGCCCATATGGGATCCCAGCACATGAAAGGCGAGGACTTTAGCCATTAGGCTACTGCGCCAGACCCTACTGTTTTTTTTTTAAATATATAGATTTATTCATTTATTTCAAAGGCAGAATGACACTGAGAAAGAGAGAGAGAGGGAATCTTCCATCCACAGTTCATTCCCCAAATGGTTGTGATGGCTAGAGCTAAGCTATGCCAAAGCCAGGAGCCATGAATTCCAGCCAGTCTCCCGCAGGTAGATGATGCTTCAGTATAGGATGCCAGCATTACAAGCAATGACTTCACTAACTGGCTGTGCCACAACACTGGCCACATTAACCATATCTGTATATTTTTTATTCATTTTTCATTTATCTTAGATGCAGAGCAACAAAAACACATAAAGGGGAGGAAAAGAGAGGGAGAGACCGCAAGTTCACTCTTCATTGGCCATAGCAGCTAGGACTGGGCCAGGCTGAATCCAGGACCAATTCTGGTCTCCTACATAAAAGGCAGGGACCTAGAGATACTCAAGCCATCACCTGCTGCTTCCCAGAGTAATACGTTGGCTCCAAAGAAGAGCCAGAACTTGAAATCAAGCCCTCTGGTATGGGTGTCCTGAGCATCATTCTAACCACTGTAGCAACCATTTGTCCCATATGATTCCATGTATACACAATATCTACTGTCTACATCGATAAAGTGCATCTATAGCAAGTATAAGCAGAAAGAAAGTAGATTAGTTGTTGCCTAGTGGTGACTGGGAGTTAGGGAGAGAGACTGATAGCTAAGGGCACAGGATTCTTTGGCAGCAAATGAAAATGTTCTAAAGTTGATTGTGAGATGATCTCACAAAAATCACAGAATCACAACCTTGGAAAGGAGGTAATTGCATGGTGTTTGAATTCCACCTCAGTAAATCTGTTATCTAAGGGGAAAAATGACAGTGTTGAATTTAGGCATTTGAATCACAATGCATTATTATGAGGCTAAAAACTGGGACAGGGCTCTGCAGTTAGCCACATGTGTGAGAACCAGGCCTGGATGGACAGGCAGTAGGGGGGCTGGATAGTGGGGTTGGTCTGGTTGAGCTAAGTTGCAGCACCTATTTGTGTGTATGAGAGCTGAATGGGATGCGGGATAGACTAGACCAGTGTACTGTGCAGGAACTGAAGCTGGGGACAACTGGATCAGAAGTGGAGCAGCCAGAACTCAAATTGGTGCCCATATGGAATGTCAGCGCCACAGGTGGAGGCTTAACCTACTGGGGGCCACATTGCTCTGGTCCCAGTAAGACAACTATTTACGCCGTTATCTAAAGATTACTTGAGGTATATTGAGAGGATGTGGCTAACTTACAAGCAAATGTTATACCAGTTTATTTGAGGGATTTTAACATCCATTGGTTTCATATCTTGGCACCAGTCTCCCTCAGATGCTGCAGCAGTACGTACTGACATTGTTTCTGCTGTGCTCTGCAAGCTTTCACTTATGTGATCCTGCTTAGTGCAGACCAGGTTGAAATTGAGAAAAGCTGAGCTCTTTATCAACAATGATACAACTAATAAGTAAAGACTGAGGCACTAGGAGACACCTACCTCAGAGTTACTTTTTTATTATTATTAGGAAAGATTTCCTTGCTTAAAACCTTGGGGACTTCACAGGGAAATATTAGATTACTGTAATATGACTCATCAGCCCAATTTAATATTACCTATTCATTATAATGTAATGTTGCTCGCACAACTAAGAACATATTGTTGCACTTCCTGCTCTGCCTCTTAGCAGCCATATAACTATCAAAACGTAAGACATAGGATAATTATATGACCCGTATATGTAATGAGTATTAACAAAAAATTAATAGTTCAATATTATGGAACTGGGGATGTA